GCGGAGATGGTCACCGAGAGATCGCCGTCTGTATTATTCAGGAACGGGGTGCAGACATGGTCACAGTGCAGTGCGGACTGCAGACACTCCGGACAGACATGCAGACAGACGGAGCCAAGCAGAAGTGCCCCATCTATCGTATTATTTGATCTGATCAGATTGATAGGTGTGGGGCCACCACAATCCTGAAATCAGTTCCTATTATTCCTTATTATTGAATAGAAGGAAGTGATGAAAAATCCAAAACAGAGTTGTCACCAGAACAGGAATACAAAAAGGGAAATCTTCCCATGGGGACACCTGTTCCGGTGACAACGGTCTAAAGTCGGGTTCACACATGTGGCACGATGAGGCAACTCATTCATAAATGTTCTACTCAATGCACCAAAATAGATGCAGGTTCCGTTTCATGCAGCACAGGCAGTGTGTCACCATGCATTGGGGCGTGCTGCAACATGCATCTGTTGGCACTGCAGCACACCGACCTGTGAAACACCAAATTTCTTCAGCGCATTAGTGTGAGGGGAACCTAAGAGGAGATTTTTGTGGAGTCTCCAACCCAACAGCTGAATGGAAATCTCCCCAAATGGGACAGAGATGGCAATAAAAATAAAACGGACTTACAAAGGTTCCGGACCATTCCCGCCTCCATTCAAAAAATGGCTTCAGCACCATAATAAAGCCAATCAGGAAACCGAATAATCCGCAATTCTCACATTCCGCCCAGACAGAAGAGGAACTTTTTGTATTTATTTTTGATAATTCTTAAATTTCTCATAACAAATATTTGGTAGAAGAATGAAGATAAAACGTCTTCCTGGAGTGCGAAGAAAGACTTTTATTCTATTCACATACAAAGTGTAAAAACACAAAACGAGCTCCAATCAGAGGCGGGATCCCATCAGAGAGCGACAATTAAAGGCTTGCAAAGTGTGATGATTATATATATATATGGAATTTATCAAAGCAATTGCAACAGTTTTAGCCTCTTGGATCATTTTTTTAATGTGTAAATCTGTCTTACAACATCTGCCCCTGTTTTCCAACTGCACATGTTTTGCACGTGTTTTCTTCAGAGGTTGCACTATTTCAGTTGCATGTTTTTTGCACCTTTTTTCCTCTGCACTTGTCGTGCGGTTGTCTGAAACTGGAGCGTCACTTAGGAAAATAATCGCAACTTAAGAAGTCCCCGTGACCACTTCAAGAAGCCACAGTTAAGCCTTTTGCCCGGAGTTAGAAGTCTTCTTTCATGGAGTCTATTAAACCTCATTTATCAACAACATCGCACTCTCGTCATAAATCTGCCGCAAATATATTCCGTGCAACTTCAAACACTCGCAACTGCTATGATAAATTCCCCCCATTATCTCTGAGCAGATCGAACCCTTCCAAACAAAAGTCCTTCAGGGGGAGATGTAGATTTATAGATGTGTTACATTGGTAAGTTTGGATTCCGGTGACGCTGCTACTTTTTGGGGTTCCCAATTGTTATATATAAAATTACACCGGGACAGGTCAGAGGTGTCTCCATATCGGCGGTACACCGGGACAGGTCAGAGGTGTCTCCATATCGGCGGTACACCGGGACAGGTCAGAGGTGTCTCCATATCGGCGGTACACAGAGACAGGTCAGAGGTGTCTCCATATCGGCGGTACACAGAGACAGGTCAGAGGTGTCTCCATATCGGCGGTACACCGGGACAGGTCAGAGGTGTCTCCATATCGGAGTTCAGAAGGATATGTAGATATATAGATGTGTTACATTGGTAAGGTTTGTTCATAGTGACGGTGCACCGGTACAGGTCAGAGGTGTCTCCATATCGGCGGTACACAGAGACAGGTCAGAGGTGTCTAGGTCAGAGGTGTCTCCATATCGGCGGTACACCGGGACAGGTCAGAGGTGTCTCCATATCGGTGGTACACAGAGACAGGTCAGAGGTGTCTCCATATCGGCGGTACACCGGGACAGGTCAGAGGTGTCTCCATATCGGTGGTACACAGAGACAGGTCAGAGGTGTCTCCATATCGGCGGTACACCGGGACAGGTCAGAGGTGTCTCCATATCGGTGGTACACAGAGACAGGTCAGAGGTGTCTCCATATCGGCGGTACACCGGGACAGGTCAGAGGTGTCTCCATATCGGTGGAACCGGCAAGAATATTCATTAAAGTGGGATTGAATACATGAAGTCTGTTATTTGGGGTTTCTATGAAACTGCAACACTTTGGGGTCCTCAATCATAATCCGTCATACTTTCCAACCAATTGTTGCTCAGTGATAAGTGCTGTCATTTGCCCCCCTGGGGGGTCCTTCCTTCGGGGGGAATTTATCAAAGCGATTACGACAGTTTTAGCCTCTTAGATCATTTTTTTTTAAGGTGCAAATCTGTCTTTTAACATGTGCCCTGTTTTCACCTGAGCGCGCACTACTTTTCCCACTGCACGTGTTTTGCACCTGTGTTTTCATCTGCATTTGTCCTGCGGTTGTCTGAAACTGGAGCGTCACCTAAGAAAACAAATCACAACTTAAAGAAGTCCCCGTGACCACTACTTCAAGAAGCCACAGTTCAGCTTTTTGCCTGAAGTTACAAGTCTTCTTTCCTGGAGTCTATTAAACCTCATTTAATCAACAACATCGCACTCGCGTCATAAATCTGCCGCAAATATATTCCGTGCAACTTCAAACACTCGCAACTGCTATGATAAATTCCCCCCCAATGTGCAACGAAAAGGACATCATCAAGGCTTAGACTACATTGATAAATAAAGGCGCAAATAACGTGGACAATTTGTCACTTAAAGAGATAGGACAGAAAAGTGGAGCAAAGTGGAGCAACTCCCTCGATAAATTCCCCCCATTGCATCCTCTCCATACACACTGAGCGCCCCCCTCCCCCCCCTTCCTGTATATGAAGTAGAATTAAAGTGGATTTAATCTTCTTTAGATCACATTCCAGCGGAATTTCTTCCTCCACTTATAGTGATTGTCTTCAGGACCCTCCAGTTATTTCTGAGATGATGACTCAGGTGAGAAGACCCAGTGGGGGGGCCGACAGCAGTAATAGAGAGAGGTATGAGGTATATATATAGAACAATAAAACATTCCAGAAGAGCCCTGAGGGGCACCTGAGTGAAACTGGCAGGCCGGCACCTCTCAGCTCATTACCATCACTGTGCCCACAACACGTCTGTGCCATTTAGGAGGAGGAGTGGAGATGTTGCCCAGAAAAGAAGCAGCTTCACACTAGTGGAGTACCATACAGGTGTGCTGAGACTTGTGGTTCCCCAGCAGGCAGAGCCAACCCTTAATATAGGTAATTTTATTTTATAGTAAAAAAAAAACAAAAAAAAAACCCATTGCGCATACATGGACCAAGGAGAGGCCAACTGCCGAGATGGGGATAGTCTTTGCAGCGCGCACAGGACAACCATAGATTGAAAGGGGCCCAACGAACCAACAATCTGTTCTTAGGTCACAGGCAAGGAAGTAACTACAGACATAACACACCATGCAACTACTTTAGGGCCTGGGAGCACTAGGGGCCCCAGCACTCTCTGCCGATAGCAGTAGCATCTAGAGAACATGAACGTGTATATAGGACTCGTTATCTGATGGCTGTCACAGCAATTAGCATTGATTAACACTGCAGGAATGGCCTTTGGAGGTGGAGGTTACAGAGGGAGAAGGGCCCCTTCATGGTTCTGCTATGGGGCCCTTGTCAGCACGCAGCAAGTGAAGTTGGAATGTCCAGTGTACAGAGTTGTTGAGTGCGACTAGATACACCTGGCACAGTATCTGTTGCTGACGGAGAATTCTGATCCGACCAAACAAATGTTAAGGAGAGGACGCAGCTTTTGACCAATTGGGTGATGAAGAGCCAGGAGCCAATAAACCCATGAGGGACCCGTGACCTGTCTTCAGGTCTTTAGGGCCCAATCATACTGCACACAATTTA